ACAACTTTATGTTACTAAATATTACCAATATATTTCGGATGCGCTTTGGTAACCGTCTTTAGGGCTATTATCTTACACGTCTGCGCTCTTTGACGTGGAGATCGAAAATGTAACATTTTAATGATTCTTATGTGAGCACCGCATAGATAACTTATAATATTTAGAAATTAAATGTTAGTTTGCAGTTATTAAACAATATAGAGCAATGGTAGGAACTTTTTTGTGCAACATCGTTGTCCGCACTATATTATTTAAATCTTTAGCCCAATTGGTCGGCCATTAATTAGGATATTCAACTCGCGGGGAACGCTGCCGCTAATTAAAACATCCCCAAAAGTATGCGATGCTGAACTGCAGCAGTCACTGCAGTGGGGCAACTTTTTCCGCTAATCCACGCAAAGTTGGCTTCCAACAAGCCAGTTGGCAAGCGCGCCACCAAAAACTGTTATGGAATTCATTTAAAGTTGAAGTCAAAAAAGTCGCTAAAAAAAAAATTGTAACGGAAAACAAAAGTTTTGTTCTCGTAACAAGGCAGGCAGCCAAAGTTGGCAGTTGATGAACTGCGACATGGACGTGGTCACATGAGGCAGCCGGTCCATTGTCCGTCTTTCGAAACCGGTCAATTTAAGCGGCTTAGAAGCCGGTATATAGAAATTGTGAATACGCTGCGTATGCGTTATATTTTTGTGAATTTATTTTTGTTTTTGCTCGTAATCAAATTTACATATTTGGGCCACTGAAATTAATTATAATGCCACCACATACAAAAACCGCATTGAGAGATAAAGGCAGAGCGAGAGAGGTAGCGAGAGAGAGGGAGACAGAGAGCGAGGGGGACGAGAGCGTAGGTGTAAGCAGTGTGAGTAAGAGAATGCTATGAATACGAAATGCTGTGGAGCTTTTGGCTTTGGTTTTGGCTTTGCGGCTCAGCGCCAGCTCTTTCTCCACTGAATGTGTTGGTAATTTCATTTGGCCATTTCATTTACCCCCGCGCACCTCTCGGACACAAACACACACATGGCAAAACTCATTTCATGGGTCACAGGGTACAATCATATGAGAGGGCAGCAAGCAAGCAACAGAAACGGCCAACACAAAAAACCTGGCCAAAAATTGATTATAGCGAAGGCTGCAACGCCCGAGGGTCGAGTAGATGGCAAACCGAGCAACTATCATCAAAATCCTATTAGTTGGCCTTGCAATAGCCAGAATACAGCTTTTGTCCTTGTCCAGTTGCCTGCGTTTTGTCAGCGTTTATTTGCCAAATTAATTCCCAAAAAGGTAAGCCAAACTTGCGATTTGAAACAATCAGCGCTGTCAAGGTTAGAGCTTCCCCCTCATCCCAATTCTACAGCCCCTCACACACACGCACCCGACCACAAAAGAAAAGTCTTTTTGTCCTTTTTGGTCCACTGCAACTGTTGTTTGCCCAGCGGGCAGAAGACGCCACCTGGGCTAGCACACAATTTGTGACAATTCCTTTTTGTGGATTAATATTTGCTCTGGTTCTGTCCCTGTCCCTATCCCTTGCCCAAGCCCTTACCCTGTCCCTTTTTGTCTCTGTCCCTCTTCCTGTGCAATCCGCTTGACTACACCCTGGGATCCTGACCGGTTGCGCTTTTCCTATCCTTTCGTTAGTTTCTGTTTGTTTCCACACTTTATTTAAATTAACATGCGCATATTTTTTAATAGTCTTGTGTGTGCCCAGCAATTCCGAGATCTGCTGAGGGCGCCTCAAAAAAGGTATTTGGACAAAGGGTTGTTATTGTGATTTGAGTCCCAAGATAATTATTTTTAATGCTGTTCTCATTGTTTTAGAACTTTATAATGTTTTGGGTCGCCCTGCTCAGTGTTGCCAAATTATTATTAAGATTAGCAAAATTGGCCAACTTTTATTGGGCTTACCTAAAAGTCTCTGTGAACTGCAGGGCCTGCAATGGTTTAAAGCAGGAAAATAATTTCACCCTACTCAGTTTCAGGATAAGATGGTTTACTTCTCCAATCGCTGCTGCCTTTCGGAAATGGAGTATGGTCGTTTTTAAAAGCTGAACTCCTTGGAAAATGGGTAAAAAGGGGTTTGAAAATGTAAGTTACAGACAGAAATAAGCATATTTGACCCCATGAAGTATATATATTCTTGGTCGGCGTCAATAGTCAAGTCAGTCTAGCTGTCTAGCGATCTGTCTGAATATGTAAACGCAAGGATCTCAAAACATTTAATAACTAGAGGATTGAAAATTGATGAATATACTCTCGTATATCATATGTAGAATGACGTTATATTTTTTTTCGATATCCCACATTTTCTTAATACCGATAGCCACCGAATAAAGTAATTTGTGATATATGTACAGATGATTAAAAAATATTTCACATTTAATAAAAAATCGTAATCTGGCTTGAGAGCTGTCGTTTTTAGGTATCTCCCAGTCGGTAATTTCCGAGAGTTTGGAGATTCGTGCATGTCAAGACAACGTGGCTCGCGCCCATCTCTACTCGACAGCATTCGCTTTTGAACTTAAAAAATATTTTTGATTATCTTTATCGGTGTGTTACACACAATAACACATCTGTGTTATGCCTTGTTAAGGAGTACCGAATATAAAAAGCAATTAAATTAAGAAATATTTGTAATATTGAAACTCATATGATTCATTTTTATCCACAAAAAAAATGATTTCTTTTTTATTAGCAAATGAAATTATAGAGTCCCTTGCAATTCACTCTAGCAAATTATTTAATTTTCGTAATTGCCCTCACGATAAATGTGCACTCTACATTGGAGTAATTGAAAAATGCGCTTAGCAGCCAAGAGCAACAAGAAATAGTTAAGCAGGACAAATGTGGGCGGCAGCATATATCCAAAGAAAAAATACATAAGTAACAGCGATGCTACCGACGATAAGAGATACCAAAATTTTTCTTTACCCGAGTGCACAGAACTTGAGACGGTCACGGGTAAGTCTAAACAACTGGGTCTGGCACGACTTACTATAAAAAGAAGAAAATAAATAACGTGGTCGAAAAATGACTCTTTTTACTCCCACAAGTGAAGTTGCTACTGATTAGGTGATGTCTGGTGGGTATGACATCTATCCTGATATATGGCTGAGCATACATGAAACTCCTTTTTCTGTACATTGCACAATGTCTGACAAAGTTGGCGTCGTTTGTTTGGGTGCGCCCTGTGCTTCTGGTCAGTTTTCTTGGCATATGCACTAAGACGCCACTTGAAGGACACTAATGCGCCTACTGGACAACAGGAAGGATTTTTATAGTGCCTTTTGCCTTAACTATTCTACGACCCTTTAACCACAAAATTATTTAAAATGTGCATATGTGGTAGAATACTCTAAATATAGAAATTGCCCTAATATCAATAAACCAAATTGGGTAAATATAATTACTTTGATTCAACTAAATTATATTGGAAAAGAAATGAATTTGATGAACGAAGGGGAAACCAGGTTTACAAATCGGAGCTTATTCCAGAAATTGTCAAAAAGACTATGCTAAACTTAAAAGTCAGTGAGATAATTATAAATATTTATTATAATCTCTGAAAGAAATGTATAATGCTGCAAATGTTGATCTGTCCCTTCGTCCGTCTGTATATAAAATATATGTTTTACATAAGTTAGAATTGTTCAATAAACGTCACTTTATCCGTCCTAAAACGAGCGATTTAAGCTGGGATTTGAATTTTTCTAGATGTCTTTACCACGGCATTTTATTTTATGAGCAAATTTCAATTAATATCGTAGTACTTAAGCATATAGATCCACTAAAACCGACCGGCTTTTTAATCAAACTCATCAAATTTGAGATTAATTATTCTAATATGTCAAAAATGCAAATCATCATCATAAATAAAGTCAGCATGATATCAGCATTGAGCAAATTAGGAGTATGTTTGCAGAGGTAGTTAATCTTTGGAACCAAGATCAATGTTCTTTCTTGTGTTACTTGTAATTTATTTAATTGGCAATGGATAGCTATAGATAATAGCCTTATATTAGTATATATAATCTTATCCACGATGTGTAAGTGCATCAAGTTCAAGCCCAAAATGGGAATTTGAATTGCAGAGAGCAACGGTGTCGGTGCTAAAATCAAACACAGAATTAATTGTGCCTGTTACTGATGTCGCAATCCGAACTGCTACCGAGTGTCAACACCCTGCGTACACTTGCGAATTTTATTGGCATCGACTTATTTCCCCACTTAAAACAAGAAAACCAACTAGAAAATCTATGACGAAATTGTAGCGCCAACTGCATCTGTTCTCTCTTGTGAGCTCAGTGGCCCACTAACTGACCAGCTGTTCGACTGTGTGGCATGCACGACGTCGATGCCGGAGCTGATGGCGAAGACGTTGCGAAATTTGCAAGCCGCTCAAATCAAGTTTTCCTCAAGCGGCGCTGCAACGAAAGTGAGGTGCAATATTTGAAATTTGTAAAATGTTTTCCGCGCGTTTTATTTAGTTTTCAATCACTGCTTGCTGAAGCTAGTCGTGTAAACTGCTTGGAAAACTGAGCTGCACATCATTGAGATCGTTGTATTGTCTAAGATGAGAGAGCTCCTAGGGTGCGTTGTGCTTCTTGCATTTGTAACTCGCGTCGTTCGAGGCGATGATCCTTATTTGACTGAGCCGCGTAAGTGTCTAGTCAATTGTAAGCCGTCGACCTTGTGTCTGGTAAATGCTCAAGTACAGACATTGAGCATTCAAATAAATATTTTAAAAGTTAATTTCATTGGTTGAGGTCCGAAGTGCATTTACTAAACGTAGATTTCACCGCTAATTCAATTCAAAAAAAAAACGTAATGACTATTGAAAGCAAATACTGGCCTAGCCGGCACGCAATGTAACTAACCCACTTAATGGTTTATGCCAAATATTGCACCACTAAACCGGATTTGTTTCTCTGCATTTATGTGTGTCTTTTTATTTTGAAATTCAAAACAACTGAACTCAAAAACCAATTTTAATCGAACCGCAGCAGATTACATTAAAGAATGTAAAATAGCCGATAAGAATTTCATCAACTGTTCCACGCAAAGCATACAACAGCTTTTCGACAAACTAAACGACGGTGAGTCGCATACGCCCCTGGGTGTATTAGAATTTAACTAACCACACCCACTGCATTTAAAAGGCATCCCGGGACTGACAAGTATCAAAAGCTTTGATCCATTCCATTTGAATCGCATCAGAATATCACAAGGCAACAGCAATGCGATCAATCTCAAAGTCGAGCTGGCCAATGTAAAGATTATTGGATTTGGACATACTAGAGTGCTAGAGAGTATGTAAGTAAGATCGAGGACTCGTTTAAAGCATATTGGGCAGATGCCAAACAAATTAAATGTCTTCTGTTTGACAGAGTTTTCAAAAAGGATTACAGCTGGAAGACAACCTTTACGTTGCCGGTTATGAAGCTCCAAGGTGATTATAGTTTATTTGGACGCATTTTGCTTATACCGCTGAATGGGCGTGGTCAGGTGTTTTTGGATGCAGGTAAGCGTGCTTCTCAATACTTGCCAGAAGGTAGAGGTGTCAAGCTTTTTTTGTCGCCACACAGATAACATGACAGTCACCATGCACACAAAGACGCGGCTGTACACGAAAGGCGGCTTCACATTTTACAATGTGACCAACTGTCGCGTGGACTTCAAAATTGATGGCCTAAAATCGTATTTCTCCAATCTGTTCAACGGCAACAAGCAATTAGGTAAGTAACTAAGCTGTCCTCTAGTATTCTCTGCCTCAAGCACATCCCTTTTCAGAGGACAGCACCAACAAATTCTTCAACGATAATTGGCGCATGCTGGCGGATGCTCTTTACACCGTAATCACACAGACCATCGAGGATATTCTGCTAGATGTTCTGAAGAAGATATTTCACTTCATACCAGCGAATTACTTTGTCAGCGACATACCCACGCCGGAGCAACTGTATGGCAAAACAAAGCCGAGGCCAAAGTGAATATTGTTCAGAATTTTGAGAGTTTTTGTGTTATTTATTGGATTTGGCTAGCGAAATAAAACTATTTAAGATGATTTCTGAGGGCTTTCACACGATATTTCCCTGTTCGTCTATTCTTCTTTCTAGGTTTGTTGACAAAATGAAAAATTGTTTTTCCCAATTGTGAAATTTTGATATTATGTTGAACAAGGCTAAAACAGGTTTAAAGGTTGTTTTGGGACTTATATTAAGTTAAAAGTGTTGCAAATTGTTAAAAAAAATTGTGGTTTCTCGTTATATCACTTAACTTTTAGGATTACAACTTGCTTTTAAAGATCGATAAAAATATATATCTAAGAAGTTGAGCGGCTATGTATGCAGACTTAAACTCCTCAAATCTTCTACTAATCTGAGCCAAACTCTTTGTCTCGAAGCTTGCTTCAAATGGGCCAGACAACACCAACCAACTGTTCAAGTCAAGTGCTTTTCATTTACACTCACATTTCTATCCATTCGAGGGTTTCGATTTACCGAAAGAGAAGATTTTGCAAAAATCAAACATTTACAGTACACAATTTTTTGTAATCGCGGAGGTTAAAGATTGAAAAAGAAATAATAAAAAAAATAGAAGCAGAATCTTAAATGTTGATAGGAAAAACAAACAAAGCAAGCAAATGTACATAAAAACTTTGTGATGGCTGCTGTGTGTAGGCGAACAGATTATTTTGAATGTGATATTTATACAAGTAACACGAATTTTGGCTCTAGACAAATTGGAAAATAACAGAACAGAAATGAATTCCTGGTAAGTATTAAAGATGACGCGCATAGTCGTCAGTTCTAGAGCGTCTTCTAATTACTTTTCACCAATGGCAGGCTGCGTGATTCTCTAAGCGAGATTTTGCGTTCCAATCGTCACACAGACTGCAAGTTCATAATTGAAACATCGACAGGCAGCAAAGTGTATCCCTGCCACAAATTGATATTGAGCTGCGCCTCTGAGGTATTTGATCGCATGCTCTTTGGCAGCTACAATGAGTCCACTAGCGGGGAGGTGAAGCTAAACGATGTGGAACCGAAAGTGTTTGAGAAGTTCCGCGAATACGTGTACGGCTACGACGTTGAAAAACTTCAGGTTTACGACTTTGATACACTTGTGAAACTGGCAGAGTTCGGCAACAAGTATCTGGTAGAGTCCATCAAAGAGGACTGCGTGCGCCAGCTACTCTACCGCAAGGACATGTACGACACAGATGAGCTGCTGCGTCTCTTTCAGTGCGCTCACACGCTCAATAGCTCGCCATTGATCGAGCAGGTCTCCCGTGACCTTAAAACTCATGCAAAGAGGGTGCTTAACCACTCGGCCATCTACCAGTTCGGCACAGACGTGTTCAAGCTCTACATTCAGGTGGTAGAGGGCAGACTCAGTGAGGCAGAGCGTTTTAATTTGATTGAAATGTATATTAAATTTCACGACCTGGACCAGTCTAACATAGATTCAATCACCACTGACGCGGATACAGATGAAGAAATACAAACATCAGAAATCAACCCCGCGAATGTCAGTGCTTTGGCCGATGGGGAGGGTAAAATTAGCACGGACTTTATTGCCGATTTACTGGGACTTATCGACTTTACCAAGTTCACGCCCAAGGAATTCTACGAAGGCCCCGGCAAATCGAATTTACTTAACATGCAGCAAAAATACGAGCACCTCTACAAGATCGCTAGGACCTGTGCACAAGCTGTGGCCCAGGAGGAGCTGGAGAACAAGCTCAGTAACTGTTTCCTCTCACCAAGCTGTCACCCGGATCTTGAAGTCCAGCGACAATACTTGACTCGCCCACACGTGGCCAACTCAATGCGACGGTGCGGAACACTTCGCGAATGGGAAAACTTGTAGTTTGTGTAATTGGAATGCCAGAATCATAATTAAATTTTTAAATATTTTCAATACCAATTTTCAATATATGAACAACATTCATATATGACAACAGTATAGAACTAAAAATAAAAATAATTAAATATAAAATGTAAGCTAGATGCCCTAACACAATATCCGTGCAAAGGTTCATTCTTCCTAAAGATTTAAAATCTTTATTGATGGCTCTGGCGACCTTTCCATATTTCAAAATATTTTGATTTAAAATCTTGTTATGTTTTGGCATCTACGCAGGAAAACCCTTTTTTAGTCAAAGTATATTGAAGTAGAGTCGGGTCTTTCGTCTAACTTTTTACTTATTTAATTGTCCTGCAAATTAAGACCATACACCTTATCCGGTATGAGCAGACAAATCAATTAATGTTGGGCTTATCCCCTAATATTTTAAAGTTTACTAGCCCATGCTCGGTTTGATACATCTACACTAATGTTCGGTAGGCCAATAATTAGTATCGATTTATATTGATTAATGAAAACGGGCCCAAAATTGTTTGAAGTTTTGTTTTGGATCGACTTCCACTAAGAGATCTTTGCTAAAGAGCCTTTTTCTTCAGTTTTTCACACGGCTACCATTTTCTTAGCATGCGCTTTCATACACATGTATGTGCATCGCTTAAGGCCTTACGGTTTGAGATGTGACAAAGTTTTATACATATTGATATTGATTTCTCACCCAATTAACGCAATTTGGGAAGCAAGAAAAACCCAAACTATCATGATAGTGGATAGAAAAACTATCGCTATCGATAGAACCAATAATTGTTTTGGAGTCTGCAGCTATAATTTGCAGCCATTATAAAAATCGTAGAGAAAACTATTACAACTGCAGTTCAGAATATTGAGCCATAAACATGGAAAGCCAACTGCAGATGGAAGGAAGTTAGGGGTCGGCAGGGTTAACCGCAAACAGTGCAAAGCTAAAGCCGCGTGTTTAAATTAATTGCCGCAAACACACCCAAACCCCAAATAAATTCATATATATTTTATACCCTGTACCCAAAAGCCAATGCAAACAATGCAACGCACATCTGTATTTCAGATCAACAATAATAGCCTGGCAAAGCCGATTCCTAATCTATAAACGAGTCAATTTCGAAAATGTAAGAAAGTCAATGAAAACGTAATTCAAAAAATCTTCAAAATATTACCGGGCTCCTACTATAACACACTTACTGAGCTGACCATTATAATATTATAAATATATATAAATTATAGTTTAATTTATTTTTTTTTATTCCCCGTTCAATTTATATATATTTGTGTATTAAATACTTCAAAGAAATTATCGGGACCACGAGCGGTTTTTTTTTTGAGTAATATTATAAAAATATTAAATAAATTTAATTCTTACAATAATTATATGACTTATGTTTGAAATGCGCGCTATAATACTTTTATATGTTTGTGTGATTGAATATCTGGGTATCCGGCAGTCGTCCACTTTCGATAGTGGCATTTTTTTGTTGCGCATTGCCCTTTTTTGCGCATTGCCTTTTTGAAGTCTGCCAATAATTTGTGAATGCAGCGGCTGCTGATGTTGTTACCGTAACTATTGTTGTTGTTTTTAATTTACCAGAACCGCATTTAAAACATTTGACGCAGTGGCAACCATTACAAATGTCAAGCAATAAGTAAAAATTTAACTCGCGAAGCGTTTGCTAACTATTACACAGATTAAATGTATATGTATATGAAAGGGTTGGTCCTGACCGATCGCCTTCAAACTCATTTTCAAAGCTCTACAATACAAAATAATAAATACGATTTTTAAGTCCACTCGAACAAAGATAAATTGGCGTACAATTTGTATGCAATTTTTGTAGTAATTACCACGGGTGGAAAAGTAAAGTCCAAAGTCCAAAGGAAAAAAAAACCTAGCCTGTACCTCTGTACAAGACTTTGTAAAAACCGCATCTATAATATATACATTTAATACATTACATTTTATTTTTAAAAATCAAATATTACACTACCAAAGAGTAATTTTTCTATAAGCCTTAACTAGTTTAGTAAAAACATTCTCTTCATATCTCACCCTTACTTGTTCTAGCCTGTTGTTAACTATTTTTGCACTCTGAACAGAGTATTGTGCAGCCTGACCTTTACTTGCTTTTATATCTGAATGCCAAAGTGACAAATCCTGTGCGTGATTGCAATAAATTTGGAGATTCCAGTACCAAGCGAAGCTCAAAACTGCAGTTGCACAAAAGTCAACAACGAGATACGTAATGCCAGACAATAGAAAATAGTAAGCGAACAAAAACCAAAGAAAAAAAAGAACCCATAACTTTATCTGGCACGCCGAAGGTTAAATATCCTTGTAGACATATGGCTTAAAGTTTTGAAAATATATAAAGAAAATTGTAAAGCTCTTAATTGTTGAGTTTAGTGAAGATATCTTTAAAATAAGTATGGAAGGAGCTTTACTATTAGAGCAAATTCGTAATACTAAATCATATGCTCTTAAGTTTAAAAGATAGCGCTATGGCCGCGATAACTTAAAACAGCTTGAAAAATGTGAAAGATCTGCAATACTCTTTGTCAGCATTGTGCAAATGATTTCCATGATACAGAAGATGGATATACGAATACCGCGTGTTTTGTACGTGTGTTCGGCAGACAGGAAGGGTTAAAATCACTTCAATATTCGCAGCGAATGTTGTCCAATATTTGCTAGAGCTGCTCTCCGAGCTGTTTGTTTCTGACAACGTGTCCGGATAGTTTTTTTTGTCAGATCAGTCTAAAGGGGAGCAATGCTCCTTTTAAATCGACGTATCGCGACGTTAAAACATATGCCTCAACTTTTAATCGCTTAGAATTTAACTCACTTAACTGTGTAAGTTTCTGTAGCAGCTCTCCCTTCGCCGCTCAAATTATAATAGCTATAGATACAATTGCAATTCCATCGATTAGAAATACCTGCGTTCAAAATTTCATGTGTCTAACTCTTATAAGTTTTGAAAGAATGACATAACAATTGATACGATAGTTTGAAATAGATAATAAGCAACAATCAGACCAGCCAGCTTGGTATCTCTCAAAATAGATATAGTTGACACAGAAGGGCTTGCGCACAAAATCTACTAAATGCCATCAATTAGGTTTTATAAATACATTTTGTTATACGCTATTACCGGAGCTCTTATTAACTCGTTAAGCCCAAAACTATTGTCGCTTGGAATTCATTTTAAAATGTTGTGCTAAAAACATACGCGTAATTAGATCAGCGCCTACTTTGACTCATGACCATAAATTAACTATATAGTTATTTTGTCCACTCAGCGTTATGGTCCAATTAATTATAAAATATTTTCAAATTAAATCATGTCATTGCAAACGGTAAACGCATTTTTGTAGATTAAAAAAAAAACACAATTGTCTGCTGCATAATATGTACAATAAGAGTACATGAACTTTAAAGCCCAAATAATAAAAATTTATGGCCAAATAATTGCAATCTCATTAGGACAACCCCGAAACCAGAACATGAACATGACACCAGTCCGAGCCCGGCCAATTTGTAGAGCGCCAGCGCCATTCGGGGACGCGTAAATTTAAGTATCCGCATTTTGTAAAATATTTAACAATAATTGAGCGTAAAATAATCGCACAAAATGGGCCGTCCATCGATAAAGTCCACGCATGGCGAGAAACTCCCAACTGCCCGCCAGTTGGTCCCCAGTTGCCGTGCGCGTTAATTGCACCGATTCTGTTGCCGTTGTTCCTGTAACATCGCATCGCACATGGACACGGATTGCGGCGACAATTGTAATTAAATAGACACCACACATGGCCGACGCTCCTGCCCTCTGAAAATGCATACGCTACAATCGACAGCGGCGGGCAGACATGGTCAGATATGGGCTGCAACGAGGCTCCATGAGATAACTCTGGTGTCTTGTGGCCCTATTTTGTACGGACAGTGGAATAAGAACGAAAGTTCCTCGTAACAATGATGAAGAATTAACTTCGGGGTGCCTCTATAGATTTGCAATATTTTCTATTCTTACTCACATTACGTCATTTTATTTCCCGGCCATTCAATATAGTATTCCGAAAATCAAATATATTTTTGTTTTGAATTTATTTTTTAGTGTATTTTTATTTATTTTATTATAAAAATTCTAAAAAACAAAACAAAAGATTTGGTTTCGAACGTTAGATTATCCGTTGTTTTCCTTTAGCTGAAGTTAGCAATTTGGCAAGAATCACAACGTAAGCAGAGTGGCGCAGTGGAAGCGTGCTGGGCCCATAACCCAGAGGTCCGAGGATCGAAACCTTGCTCTGCTATATGTGGCTTTGGTCAGTTGATCATTTTTTTTTAATGGAAATATTATTATTAAAAATTATTAAATCAATTATTATTATTAAAAAACCAAATGAATGCTAGCAACTAAAACTGCCATACTTATCCGTAGATTTGCGAATGTCATTTTTGGGAAAGTTATCTTGAAAACTAAAACAATCTTGACCTCAGCGAACATGTCGATCCGATCCGCAATCAACATTTTTATGACAAAGGGAAATCGTAGCAATCACGTCTGCGTATGTTAACTAAAGCCAGCTTGGGTAAAGGAGCTGAGACTAGGCAACCACCCAACCTAGCCACCAGCCTTTTAAACCACAACTCAACAACTCAAAAGGCTCAAAAGGAAACACCCACCAAAATCTAACTCCACACATTCTGAACAAAAAAAACAGACAAATTGCAAAAAAAAATAAATAAAATAAAAAAAAAGTGTCAAAAAAATACGCGAGGAACATTTATTGTATATTATATTGTTTAACATACTTTTCGGATTATGATTGAACAATTTTACTAAGATTTATGAATTGTAATTTTTTATGTGCGCTCCTAAAAGTATGCAACAAAAACTGTAAAGTACCGCACGCTCCGTTTGGGTATGCAATACAATTTTTTATTTTTGTTCTTTTTCGGTCGTTTTTTTCAAAAAATTTGGATTTCCAAACAAAATCAAAAAACGTGGTATGCAAGTCGAGTCCAGCGATCA